TCCTCCTCTTCTCTCCTCCTCCTCCTCAGTGTGCCCACCTGGCCTGGGCCCGACCCTGTCTCCTCCTCCTCCTCCTCTTCCTCCTCCTCCTCCGCCGTGGGGCCCACCTGGCCTTGTGCCGACCCTGTCTCCACTTCCTCCTCCTCCTCTTCCTCCTCCTCCTCCTCAGTGTGCCCACCCGGCCTGTGCCCGACCCTGTCTCCTCCTCCTCCTCCTCTTCCTCCTCCTCCTCCTCTTCCTCCTCCTCCTCCTCGGTGTGCCCACCTGGCCTGTGCCCGACCCTGTCTCCACTTCCTCCTCCTCCTCTTCCTCCTCCTCCTCCTCTTCCTCCTCCTCCTCCTCCTCCTCGGTGTGCCCACCTGGCCTGTGCCCGACCCTGTCTCCACTTCCTCCTCCTCCTCTTCCTCCTCCTCCTCCTCTTCCTCCTCCTCCTCCTCAGTGTGCCCACCTGGCCTGTGCCCGACCCTGTCTCCTCCTCCTCCTCCTCTTCCTCCTCCTCCTCCTCAGTGTGCCCACCTGGCCTGTGCCCGACCCTGTCTCCACTTCCTCCTCCTCCTCTTCCTCCTCCTCCTCCTCAGTGTGCCCACCCGGCCTGTGCCCGACCCTGTCTCCACTTCCTCCTCCTCCTCTTCCTCCTCCTCCTCCTAGGTGTGCCCACCTGGCCTGTGCCTGACCCGTCTCCAGCACCTCCTCCTCCTCGGTGTGCCCACCTGGCCCCGGCCTGTGCCTGACCCATCTCCAGCACCTCCTCCTCCACCGTGTGCCCACCTGGCCCCGGCCTGTGCCTGACCCGTCTCCAGCACCTCCTCCTCCTCGGTGTGCCCACCTGGCCCCGGCCTGTGCCTGACCCGTCTCCAGCACCTCCTCCTCCTCGGTGTGCCCACTTGGCCTGTGCCTGACCCGTCTCCAGCACCTCCTCCTCCTCGGTGTGCCCACTTGGCCTGTGCCTGACCCGTCTCCAGCACCTCCTCCTCCTCGGTGTGCCCACCTGGCCCCGGCCTGTGCCTGACCCATCTCCAGCACCTCCTCCTCCACCGTGTGCCCACCTGGCCCCGGCCTGTGCCTGACCCGTCTCCAGCACCTCCTCCTCCTCGGTGTGCCCACCTGGCCCCGGCCTGTGCCTGACCCGTCTCCAGCACCTCCTCCTCCTCGGTGTGCCCACCTGGCCCCGGCCTGTGCCTGACCCATCTCCAGCACCTCCTCCTCCACCGTGTGCCCACCTGGCCCCGGCCTGTGCCTGACCCGTCTCCAGCACCTCCTCCTCCTCGGTGTGCCCACTTGGCCTGTGCCTGACCCGTCTCCAGCACCTCCTCCTCCTCGGTGTGCCCACCTGGCCTGTGCCTGACCCGTCTCCAGCACCTCCTCCTCCTCGGTGTGCCCACCTGGCCCCGGCCTGTGCCTGACCCCGTCTCCAGCACCTCCTCCTCCACCGTGTGCCCACCTGGCCCCGGCCTGTGCCTGACCCGTCTCCAGCACCTCCTCCTCCTCGGTGTGCCCACCTGGCCTGTGCCTGACCCTGTCTCCTCCTCCTCCTCCTCCTCCTCCTCCTCGTGCCCACCTGGCCCGGCCTGTGCCTGACCCCGTCTCCAGCACCTCCTCCTCCGGCCGGCTCAGGCGTCCCTGTCTGTCCTGCTCGGCTCCAGCGTCAGAGCGCACCTAGAGCCTGGCCCCCTCTCACCACCCCGAGCCCCCTCCTGGACTAGCCTCTGCCTCGCCTGCCTGCACCTGCGGCCCCCAGGACGGTCCCTGGGAGCATACACCAGGACTGCCCTTCCTTTGCTCAGAGGTCCCCAGCTCTCGGCTTCGCCCCGAGGAACGGCCACGCTCCTCCCGGGGGCCCCTTACCTTCCGTGGGAAATCTGGTTACTTGCGTTGTCTCTCCTGGCCATCCTGCAGACTCCGAAGGCAAGGGTCTTCGTCCTGTTCACTGATTCCAGCTGCCGATGTAGTGGGGTCCTTCCTGAGTGAGTGGGTGCCCCTGGTCCCAGCTCCCTGGCCACGCCCATCTCCCACAGCTTCCCCGCTCAGAGCGCACCCTGCCCCCAGGTGTTCTTCATCCCGAACCCGACACTGACCTGCAGGTAAACATTCACACCCGTGAGAATCGGGGCAGTTTAGTGGGCGCCGGCTCCTGAAGACCGCCTGTGCCCATCCCCTCTGCACCACCTTCCTGGGCCCCCCGAGGCCCACTGGAGGAAGGGTCCCCAGGAGCTGCCGCAGAGCCTGGGCGGAGGTGGGGAACCTGGACGTTGAACCGGGGTTGCTGTCTCCGTGAACTCAGCCAGCGCAGTGGCGAGGCGTGAACTCGCCTCACGTCTTAAGAGCCGTCAACGATTGCAGCAGATAGAGGGTCCCTCCAGCCCAGGCGGGGTTGTGCCGAAGGCAGGGACTGTCCCTGTTCCCCGTCTCCTGGTCACATGTCCCTGATCAAGTCCCCGGGCCTCTCCCAGGTCTGTTTCTAACCTTCTGACTCAGGCATGGCCAGAGCTGTCCAGGTTTGAACCTGACTATTCCTGGTTCCAGCTGTTACCCTGGGCAAGGCCCACCTCCAGCCGTGTGCTGAGGGTGACGTGGGAGTCATCGACACTACCCAAGTCACCACTTGCTGCTGTGTTGTCATTACCCAGGCTTGGGGGCCTGGAACAAAACGATGCCTGCGTGGACCTCCAGCCGGCCCATCGTACCCCGAGCAACGGGCACTTTCTCAGCGAGGGACGACTTCAGAACAGCGGCCAGGCTCCTGACCACCATCACTCTCAAACAGCGGCCTTGAGGACAAATGAAGACCCCACGAGTCATCACCACAAAACTGTCTTTACTACCACAACCAAGTGACCCACAGACCCTCGGTGGACATCGACTGCATTCTTTCAAATTTAAAAACAGTACTGGGAACCCACGTTTTTAAGTTTAGACACCGTTTGGGGGCACACCTTACCCAAGACCCCGTGGAGAGATGCTCTGAGACCTGAGTGTGAGCATGTGGAACTCTTACCCCGGCGTCTGGGAGCCCGGCGTCCTCTGCCCCCAGGGACCGAGCTGGGGCCACCACGGCACAGCCGTCTGGGGACCATGCTGCCAAGTGGTCAGTCGCTCAGTGCACACCTGTTGACATCCAGGGGGTAAGCAGGAAGGTGTCAACCCACCTGGCTTACAAAACCACTTGTAGGTAAAATCTCCTCCACACGTTGTCCTTCCTTCACGGGTCAGTCAGAAACACACCCAACAAGCAATTTTGTGCGTGGCGAGATTCCCAGAGAACTGTCTTCATTGTTTCTGGTTTGCAGACATGTGGCCGGGATCAGGGCTTCCACGAGCTGCCTCCCCGTGGCTGGGACAGGCTGTTGGGCTCGGGAGATCCCGGCACAGCCCCAGGGGCCCGCCTGGGCAATGCGGCAGCTCGGGCAGTCCCCTGCTGCGGGGTTTGGACGAGGGGCAGGAGGGAGCGCGCGGTGTGGTCCAGCTCAGCGCATCCACAGGGCGCAGGGCCCCGGGCTGTCCGAGAAGCACGTGAGCAGGCCCAGGGAGTCCGGTAAAACAGCCGTGAGGCCCTGGCTGGTGTGACTCAGCGGTTAGTGTTGGCCCGTGGACCAAAGGGTCTCGGATTCGATTCCTGGTCAAGGGCACGTACCTGGGTTGCAGTCGATCCCCATCCCTGACTGGGGTCATGCGGGAGGCAACCAGTGGATGTGTCTCTCTCTGTCTCCTTCCCTCCCTACCTAAACATCAATGGAAATATCCTCAGGTGAGGATTAACAACAACAACAACAATATATATAAACCATGAGGACTTGTAGCCACAAGTCATCACCCAACGTGAGAGTGTGACGTAGAAACGAGGGTCAGTGGTGAGGACTCCAGGGCCATCACTCTGGAGACAGGGGCCCCGAGTGCGGCCCCACAGGGAGGCCTGGCCACGTCCCAGGAGTTCTGTGTGGGGGCCTGTCTTCTGCTCGGTCTTCTTTCTCCTCCACGACGGAGTCAGGCGGGCAGGCGTCAGAGACCCGGCTTCGTCACGCCCCCCGCCTCAGCTCGTGAGATGAGGCGTTCCAGACCTCTCATCCCATGATGAGAACACCCTTCTAAAACTGAGCCCCCTGTGATGGAATTATTGAGGGTATGCCAGTACAGATTAATCCCGTTTTTAAATGAGAAATGCCAGTCCGAGCAAATACTGTTGTTAGAGCATTACGTTTCTGGGGTGCGTAAGTGAAGACTAGGATTTATGCTGAATACGTCATCAGACGTGAGGCTGTCACCCCCAAACAGTGGACAAAACGTAAGAACTGTATTAATCCTAAACTTATACTTTGGTAACTTACCAAGTTTTTAATAAAAATTTGTTTTAAATGTTTTTTTATTTTTATTTTTTAGAGAGAGAGGGAGAGACAGAGAAACATCCATCAGCTGCCCCCTGCACGCCCCCTACTGGGGATGGAGCCCACAACCTGGGCATGTGCCCTGGTCCGGAATCGAACCAGGACCTCAGTCCACGGGACGATGCTCCATCCACTGAGCCACACCGACCGGGCCCAAGTTCTGACGTACATTTGGTCACAGGGACATGGGAATCGCTGAAGATCTTTCTGCTGACCACCCGGGGGCTGTGTTCACGGACCGGAGGAGCGGCTGTGACGTATGAGATGGAGTGCAGACTGCTTCAGCGACGCACAGCGGGTCTGGGACCCCGGTGCTCGCGCTGCTACACGACTCACAGCGGGGTCACGGGAAGGCTTCCTCTCCCTGGTCCTGAGGTCACTGCTGCCCAGGACTGCAAGGAGCCCCGGGGCCGTCCCACAAAGAGCCCGACCCTGCTGAGGACGGGAGCCCCACACGGCTGTGACGCACTCCCTGGCGTCCAGAACACCCAGGTGGCCCGGCCAGGTCGTCCAGTGGCTTGGAGTGTCCCGTACACTGAAAGGCTGCAGGTCTGACCCCGGTCAGGGCGTGTCTCTCTGTCCCTTCCCCTCCCTCTATCTCTAACACCAACAAAAGCACGTTCTCAGGTAAGAATAAAACAACAACCCAACAGCAACAACAACAAAAACATCGAGGTGAGCACAACACCCTCGCGAGGCTCAGCCTCCACACCCCAGCCAAACCCTCTGATCTGACTGCGGCCTCTCCTGCTCCTTGGAAAGGTGATGTGCTGAAAGGTGTGGCCACCTTCCGATGTGCCCTGCGCACCGACCAGACCCACCCCACCCGGAAGGCTATGTACAGAGAAGGGGCTGCCTCGCTCGCGTCCCGCAGGCCAGCTCTGCCCGCGGGCACAGAAGGACTTTCTGCAGCACGACTGACACTTACAAATACAGGGACATGCAAATGCTACGAGAACTGGGTGCGAGCGTGACTGTGAGGGGCCTGGACAGGACAGGACAGGGCAGGGCAGCTGTCGCTCAAGCTCTGAGCTGGGGGGCTCAGCACAAAGGGGTTGGTCCCCTCTTGTCCCTCTTTCAAGAGTCATCGTGGGTTCTCCGTCTGGCGCTGAGCAGTCTGGTGGTGTTTGGTCCAAACAGGTCTCTTAGGAGTCTTTTTACACCTGTTTATGCATCTGCGAAAAGCCAAGTTCGAACGCTGGAAACCGTGCCGTCTCGGGTACCAGGACGTCGGAGAGGAAGTGAATTGCGCCAGCCATGCCTGCAACGTCAGATGGGGACGCTCGAGGAACAGGCGCCGGGACACAGGAAGCAACCCCCACCCCTCAGCAGGAGACCCAAGGCAAGGCCACACAGAACAGCACACGCATGTGCACACGCACGCACACACCAGACAGAAGAGGTAGAGCGGTCTGTCGAGCTTCTAGTCCGTTTTCCTGGACTGCGACCACATGGGCCTGCGGCAGACAGTGAACGGTGTGTTCGTTCATTTCCTGCGCCGCTCTCTGTTTTCAGAACCTTCTACAATGTCCTCTCACTACTTCCCAACTACTTACAATGTCCTCTCACTACTTCCCAACTACTAAAATGTGTAGTCACTATTGCCTTTTAAGGCCTGGCAGGATTACTTGCACTTCTTAAATAACTCAGGTAGTTGAGTATGTGTAAAGGACGAACACGTCTCCCGTGAACGGGTCAATAGCACACACGCGATACCGCACATGAAATGCCCAGGAGGCTACTGTCTCCTGTCACCACACAGCACACACGCCACGTTCTGCCTGCGGGTTTGCTCCGCGAGGGATCCGAAAGCGCCTGGAAGACCTTCGCAGGAGCACGGAACAGGCGTGGGCGGTAGAGACTCAGCGTCCTTTTCAGCAGCGCACGGCGTTGCTCGTCGTCACTCGGTAGCCGTGCAGCCATCACTCCACAGAGTCAAGGGACAGGGCAGTCACGCAGACAGGAGGGTCAGGCCACGCCCCAGCACCCAGAGCTCCCCCTCACCTTCGAACAGAGAGTAGGGTCTGTCCGGGACACGGCACCCGTGGGCTCCGTAGTCGAGACACCACTCTGCGAACTGAGAGGAGAGGGGGCTGCAGCGCTCGCTCGGGGAGGCCACGGTGGTGACCCCGCCACGGCGCAGTGGGCTCTGGGCAGCAGGGCGGCTGCAGCTGGGCTCGGGCTGGGCTGCAGGCCACCTCTTCTCAGCGGGGGAGCCTGTCCCTGAGGACGTCAATCAGCGGGGGAGCCTGTCACATCAGCGGGGTAGCCTGTCATGTCAGAGGGGGAGCCTGTCACTGAGAACGTCAATCAGCAGGGGAGCCTGTCCCTGAGGATGTCAATCAACGGGGGAGTCTGTCAATGAGGACGTCAATCAGTGGGGGAGACTGTCACGTCAGCGGGGGAGCCTGTCCCTGAGGACGTCAATCAGCTGGGACTGGAGGGTAAGGAGTCGCATGTGCATCTGGGGAAGAGCATCCCCGACGGGAGCAGCAGCTGACACAGTGCTCAAGGGGACACAGGCTCGCTGCACACGGAGAGGTGTGCAGTGCTGGGTGTGCAGTGTGGAGGCTGGGGGAGGGGTGGGGGAGGGGAGGAGGGCGGAGAAGGGCAAGGGTCAGGCGCTCGGGTCTGAGTCAGGATGCGGCCTCACTCCCGGGGCGGAGAGGCCATGACAGGCTGTGCAGACAGAGCCGAGTGGGCAGCAGAGGGGGAGGGGCTGCGTGTGCACCCTGCCTGTCTGTGTCAGACCTGTGTGGACAGAGGTGTCTTTACCTTGCAGGCTCGGTAGAGGTACTTCTTGTCCTGTGTGAGGTGGTACAGGGACAGGAAGGAGTAGCCGTTCCCGGCTGTCCCATGGCAGACGCCGTAGCCCTTCCGCAGCAGACCCCGCTGCCAGATCACATCGCTGCACTCCATGGCGTCCTTCAGGTACTTCTCCTCCTTGAACACCTGGCGATGAGAGCGACGCTGTGCTGACGGTGCCCAGTGAGGAGTCAGTTTGCTAGGACGCTCAGCACGAGGAGCCGGCGGCCCTGGGGACAGCCGGCACTGCCACCACACCGGCCGCAGCTCCCAGTCAGTCTGCCTGCCCACTCCCCAGCTTCGAGCTCAGGACTCGGCAGGAGTGATGTTATCATACCGCTTCGCAGATGAAGATGCTGCCCACAGTCAGACTGAGGAGCGCCGGGGGCCGGGATGGGCACTGACCTTGTACGCCTGCATCAGCACGTGGATGACGCCCGGGGCGGGATGGGCACTGACCTTGTACGCCTGCATCAGCATGTGGATGACGCCCGGGGCACCGTGGCACCAGTGCACCAGCCGGTCGGTCTCGTTGCTCAGAGATGACGGGTAGTTCCCAGAGCGGAACCTCTTGTGGCGGACGTAATCAATGCTAGGCTTCACCATCTCGGTCAAGGTTTCTTGGTCCACTTTTGCTGCTGGCTTTAAATAAACAAAAATGAAACATTTACTCTATTTTCTCCAAAGTTTTTTTTAAGAACCTCTGTACTGTGGCTAATAAAACATCAATTACCCGGGATACCGAGGAGTGTAAACATTAGAAATCAATTATTTGGTTCTTTAAGACCAGGGCAGATCTTTTATTTCCGGTCTCCGATGTTGCAGGGGAGGTCCGAAAGCATGCCCCAGAAAACTCTCTTGCTCGGGGAGGCCCACGCCGTGAACGGGACTGCTTTCCTGCAAGGCCACCCGTTCAAATGCAAGCTCACCCGAAACATCCCCACAGAACATTCAGGGTAAAGTGTGCCCAAATCTCTCGGCACTGGGACTACGTATCAAGGTAACACAGTCAGCTAGCATAGAGCTAGATGACTTTGTTAATGGGGACTTTCAAATACCTGTATTGTCTTTTTAAAAAATTGAGGCAACAGTGGTTAATAACAACACTGGTTACAAATGTTGCCTAAGTTTCAGGGGTACATTATAATCTGTTACCTGCACACACTCCGGTGTGCTCACCACCCAAAGTCTAGTCAGTCTGTCACCACACGTTTCACCCCTCACTCGTTTTGCCCTCCTCCCACTTCCTCCCCTCTGGCGCCACCAACTTGTTGTCTGTGTCTCTGAGTTTGTTCTTGTTTCTTTTCTTTTTTTTGTTTTATATTCTACACAAGTGAAATCATATGGTTTTTGTCTTTTTCTGTCTTATTTCACTTGGCATCATGCCCTCAAGCTCCATCCATGTAGTAGCAAAAGGCAGAATTTCATGTTCATGGCTGAATAGTATTCCCTTGCACACATCTCCATCTTCTCTATCCATTCATCTGTCCGTGGACATCCAGGTTCCTTGGCTATTGTAAACAACGCTGCAATGAACATAGGGGTGCATGTATCTTTCCAAATCAGTGTTTTCCTATTTTTTGGCTATCTGAACTGTTTTCCCCCACAAAAGGACTTCAGTCCCCGCACCTGTGGTGGAGGTGGCGAGGAGGCCACTGCGACGGCATGGAGGTGCCCTGTGGACAGTCGTTTCCAGTCCCAGGCTGCACGCCCCTCCTCCACACCTGCTTTTGCGAGTCAGAGAACGGGCCTGACTCCTCCAGACTTTCCCTTCGTCTCCAGCAGGAGAGGAGAGGAGTGGTCACCTCACTGTGTGGGTGCTCTGCTGTGTATAGACCTTCAAAGCCCTGCCCCACAGCCGGGCCCTCCCCACCCCCCAGCGAGCACGCCAGGCACTGCCTTCGCAGACAGCACCTTCACCTCCAAGGGCAAGGGCCCTGCAGGGAAACTGGCTGGCACCTCGGGCACGTGTGACCTCCTCGGCCTTCGCAGAGCTGCCGTCTCTCACCTACTCTCAAGTCCACACAGCGGCAGCCTGGGGCTCCGGCGCCTCCTACTTTCATCAACGAAATCAGATTTCATTTTCAAAAGAATCGGCTGTATTCTGCCACTGAGAAAGTGGTGTTCTAAGTGGTATTTAAGAGTTTTTGTGTGTATGGTTCCAATAGTCTTCCAAATAAAACTGTCTGATGGAATCTACTCCTGCTACACCGCCACACCACCGCACCGCCACTGCATATCCATACCGCTGCACCACCGCTGCATGTCCATACCACCGCACCACCACACCACCACACCGCCGCACCGCCGCTGCATATCCATACCACCGCACCACCGCACCACCACACCACCACACCGCCGCACCGCCGCTGCATATCCATACCACCGCACCACCACACCACCACACTGCCGCTGCACATCCATACCACCGCACCACCACACCGCCGCTGCATATCCATACCACCGCACCACCACACCGCCGCACCACCGCTGCATGTCCATACCACCACACCGCCACACCGCCGCTGCACATCCATACCACCGCACCACCACACCGCCGCACCACCGCTGCATGTCCATACCACCGCACCACCACACCGCCGCACCACCGCTGCATATCCATACCACCACACCGCCACACCGCCGCTGCATATCCGTACCACCGTACCACCACACCGCCGCTGATTATCCATACCACCGCACCACCACACCGCCGCTGATTATCCATACCACCGCACCACCACACCACCGCACCACCGCTGCATATTCATACCACCACACCGCCGCACCACCGCTGCATATCCATACCACCACACCGCCACACGGCCGCTGCATATCCATACCACCGCACCACCACACCGCCGCACCACCACTGCATGTCCATACCACCGCACCACCACACCGCCACTGCATATCCATACCACCGCACCACCACACTGCCGCACCACCGCTGCATGTCCATACCACCGCACCACCACACCGCCGCTGCATATCCATACCGCCGCACCACCACACCGCCGCACCACCGCTGCATGTCCATACCACCGCACCACACTGCCGCACCACCGCTGCATGTCCATACCACCGCACCACCACACCACCGCACCACCGCTGTATGTCCATACCACCGCACCACCACACCGCCGCACCACCGCTGCATATCCATACCACCGCACCACCACACCACCGCACCACCGCTGCATGTCCATACCACCGCACCACCACACCGCCGCACCACCGCTGCATATCCATACCACCGCACCACCACACCGCCGCACCACCGCTGCATATCCATACCACCGCACCACCACACCACCGCACCACCGCTGCATGTCCATACCACCGCACCACCACACTGCCGCACCACCGCTGCATATCCATACCACCGCACCACCACACCGCCGCACCACCGCTGCATATCCATACCACCGCACCACCGCACCACCACACCACCGCACCATCACACAGCCACATAGCTGCACCATGGCACATTCACACTGTCGCACCATCTCATCGTCACACTGCCGCACGTCTAGACTAGCCACACCTCCGCACCTCCGCACCGGAATGACTGTGGAGCAGGGAGGAGATGTGAACAGCCAGGTCAGGTGAGCTGGCTCTGGAGCATGGCTGCCTACAGGTTGTCAAAAGAAAACTGACAGCAATTTCTAAGTAGAATCCTTACTAAACAGTGTTTCCATGTTCTCCACCTTAAAAACAGTTGAGAGAATCTATGATGTGTTTTTCCCCAAGGAGACCCCTGATATCTACAAACAGCACCTAAACACCTAATCTAAGCCAAGTAGCTCTACTGGCGTGGTTCTTACACAACTCTTTCCCCTCAGGGTGTTGTCACTGGACACAGGATACACACAATCTACCAGCTGTCGAGAACAGCAACGCCGCTTTAACATGAAATACAGAATTCTGGTTCTTTGGAAACATGCATCTGGACTATAAAGAAAATTCACAAACTGAAATACATAGATGTTTCACCTTCTACAACAGTAAGTAAAAACAACTAGTGGCCAGAAGGGGGCATCGTCCTTCGTAGATGCAAATGCCCCGTTTTCCCTTAGAGAGCAGCAGCATGACGCAGCGGGTTTGTTCATCCTCACCGGAGGACATGTTTGCATTTATCTTCAGACAGAGCAGGAGGGAGAGAGGGAGGATGAGAGAGAGAGAAACATCGATGTGAGAGAGACACAGTGAGTGGCTGCCACCCACACGAGCCCAACCAGAGCTGGGGACAAACTGCAACTGAGGTACGTGCCCTTAGCGGGAACCGAACCCGGGTCTCTCTGGTCCACAGGCCGATGCTCTAACCACTGAGCAACTGGCCAGGGCTCAGTGGGTTTAGGAAAGAAGAATCTGAAGGAAATTTAAATAAATATGTGGCTGTTAGTAGAAAAGAACTAAATTAGAATCCATGCTCTTTGGTCGACTAGTTTTGTGATTCGATCAAACGAACGAAGCAGCCTGCAATGGTGATGGCGGCGGGAAGAAGGGCTAAGTGAGGAGCACGCGGGGCCGCAGGAGCAGGGAAGGGCGGCGCGGGCGACGAGGTGGAGGAGCCGGCGCAGGAGGTGGCCCTGGGGCAGGGCCTCTGCCTGCCGGCAAAGCGTCGGTACTCGGCAGACTCAGCGATGACTGGGAGACAAGGTCACAAACACGATAAACCAGCGAAACGTCTAGAACACAGCTGACTGCCGCGGAGGGACCTGACTATGAAGTCTCTGCCCCACGCTGGGTTTTTCTGTTGTTTTGCACTCACACACTTTATATTTTATTCTCTTTCTGTACACATTGGCAACGGTAAAGCTCAATGATGCACATTCTATGAAATATGCACAAACGAGGACTTTACATAAATAATTTATACTACAGAAAATTAACACTGAAGACATCTTCCAGACCATCAGAGTCACAGCCTTCACGGCAGTCAGGTTCTCCCCCTCGGGTGTCAGCCACGGCGTCTCTGCGGAGTGACACAAGGATCACGCGCCTGCTTGCCATTCAGGGCGCGGCAGATGCTACGGCAGCCCTGCGTGCCCCGAAGCTCTTCCCTGTTGAGAGCAGCTCCTCCTGTCGGCAGGGGGACGCGACAGAAAAGTGGGGTGGAGGCGCCTGGTCTGTACGAAATGCCTGCAGAGGGAGCTCACTGCTCGGGTGCATGAAGCGAACCGTACACACCAGGATTCAAGGGAGGATCCCTCGTTCAGCCTTCCGGGTTTGTGTCAATATTTTAGCCCCATTCTCCTCCTCACTCCCCTCTTCTATGACCCGCTCGCTGTCAGTGTCGTCTTCTCACCCACCTGCATCAGCATGTAGTAGATCCCCGCCATGCCGTGGGCCGCGCCCACGTACTGCTTCCGGTGCCACTGGTACAACAGGGGGCAGCGCTCCGTCTTCCTTTCTTCCCGTGACAACGCCTTGCCGGATTCGATGATAGCAGTGACCACCTGGACACAACGAGACGGCTTACGTCTGAAAACTCAAACACGTCCCGCTTCAGTCTAGGGGACACTAACGTCACGTCTACAGACAGACAGCGTAATCTAGACACCGGTAAGCACTGAGCACCAACGCTGTCATCTTCGTTTTATAAATTAATAAATACGGGCAGAGAGAAATCAGAAGACAATCTCAGAGTGGAAAACGACATTAACAAGTCAAACCATGAAATCAAAAGTTCTTCGTATAAAGAGTTTACTAGAACCTAGAAAAGCTTCCTATAAAATTATTCTAGACTATTTAGTTGCTTTGTAGTTGCAATGTTTTCCCCCAAATATTGGTGATCTCCCATGAGAGGCCGGAGGGCCTGAGGCTGCGGGGGGGGGGGGGGGGCCGGAGGGCCTGGGGCTGTGGGGAGGCTGGTGACCGTGTCTGCTGAGGTGTGCGGGCTGCAGTTAGATCAGAAGACTCCCATGTCTGTGATGAGGCTGTGGCATGGATACCGACGGGCCCCTAACATCCTGACTCCCTTCATAATTTTGGTAAATGTGCTGTAAGTTTCAGCTGGGTGCCGGCCCCTGAGCCCACACAGCTGGACTGTCACTTGACTGAGTTCTGTAAGCGGGACGTGAGCGGAAGTGAGGGGACGACGTCTGGTCTTGGCCTTGAAATGGAAGCTGAGCATCCTCCATTTCCTCACCTGTCTGTGCCCTGGGCGCAGGTGACCCTAGCTCTGGTCATGCAGACAAGGGCACGCCCCTAGGATATGGCAGAACAACACAGAGGGGTCCCTCGCCATCCTCCCAGGACTGCCTACCAGTTCAGACATCATAGGAAAGAGAAAGAAACATTCTGTCTTTTTGAAACTGGCCCTGGCCAGTTTGGCTCAGCGGTTAGAGTGTTGGCCTGCAGTGCAGAGAGACCCGGGTTCGGTTCCCGCTAAGGGCACGTACCTCAGTTGCAGTTTGTCCCCGGCCCTGGTTGGTCATGCGGGAGGCAGCCACTCGATGTGTCCCTTTCATGTCGATGTTTCTCTCTCTCCCTCTCTCTCCCTCCCATTCTATCTGAACAAAAAATGGAAAACTTTCCTCGGGTGAGGATAAAAAAAAAAATGTCATTTGATTCTAGTAAAAACTGCTGAATCGATCCATGCCTAAGCAGAGTACAGATTTTTAGAAAACATTCCCAGAAAGGACGCAAAGGAGCTATGTATTAATTTTATGGGGTGCTTTAAGGAACCGCTGTTGCCCAGGAGCGGAGCTGAGGTCCGAATGGCGGGGGAGAGGAGCCCCACAATACCTCTTGAACCGCGGACTCACACACGGTGCCGGGCCCGATCTCCGTGTTCACGTAGAGGAGGGCGAACAGGTACCCCGCTCGCCCGTACAGCAGCTCGTCGGGAAGGTCCGAGTCTCGGCTGACAACGGTTCTCTGGAGCTGCAAAAGTCTACCCGAGAAAACGCCGTGTCCCGAGAATGCCTGACATACCTTCCTGCAACTGTACATAACTCGTTCCTTTAGGAATGACCTGGTATTTATTTTTCATTTACAACAAAAAGAGCAGGAAAAACAACAACAAACTGTTTCCACTTCACTAACTTCTCTCTCAGATATCGTGAACAACAAAACATCTTTGTGGTCGACATGTTTACCTTATATCTGTCCTAAACCAACTAAGAGAGCCTCAAGGCTGAAGTCCAGACTTAGAAGACAGTGACTTAACACCTAGAGGAAGACGGCAGTACAATGCAGCCAGGGCCTGGGAATTAGCTTGCGTCACCCCGAGGTCAACACACAGGGACAGACGGGCGTGAGCTGGAGACCAGCAGCCCGTGGGCGTGAGCGCCGATTTCTGCTTGCCCAGGAGGTACCAGAAACCCACAGATGCATAAAAGTCGACACTCTAACTGCCAAAACTGGGCCTGAGAATAACTATTACAGTAAGTCTGAGGCGTATAAGTTAATTTTCCTGCACTGAAGGCAACCAAAAACTGCTTCAGAAAAACAAAGTAACAAAAAAAATGCTTTTGTCCCCCTCCCACCTCCCCCAAATTAAGGCTGTACAGCTTGGGTAGACAGGGAGCATACGATCCCACAAAGATTCACCCACAAACTCTTCGCTTCTGGGAGAGCTGTTTGTAACGGCGGCTGAATTAAAAACTGATTTCCTTTTTGACCATCAGGACCCTCGAGGGAGAGTTTGGAGAAGGCACTCCCATCTCCAACACTCACTTTTCGATGCACTCCTGCGACTCGCCGTCACTCCTGAGCTTATGGTACACCACAGCTGCCACGGCGAGCGGCCCGGCGTCTCCACAGAGGAAGGTGACCCTGCGGCCACTCAGATTCCGAAGTGTCCTCTTGATGTAATCCAGGGACCGCAGCAGGTAGGTCTGGTCACTGGTGACCCGGTACAGCTGCAGGTACAAAAGGGCTATGCCTGGGAAACCCCCCAGCCCCAAGAAAAGCGTCATTACCTTTCCTTTCACCTTTAGGATATAATTTTATGTTTACATGAGAAACCCACACAAAACCTGTATTTCTGAAGGGCAGCATCAAAGAAATGACATAGGGTAGATTAAAACGACAACTCAGAGAAGAAAATCGTAACCCAAGTCTAAATGCAGTTGCTCTGACACCGGATCCCACTCCTCCCAGACAAGGGGCGACACGGGCCCCCCACTCATCCCCATTTACCTGGGCGCACTTCAGGCTTTTGTTCACTCTCCTGTGTATCTTAAACTAACTTGTATCTACTCATTTCATCCTGATCCCAAATTAGGCGATTACTTTTCTGAATTTTACACTCTTTGGTCCCTCAAACTTTTTCAATTTTTTTTTAAGTGACTGACCAGTCAGTGAGCCGGCTCATCACTGGTGGAACAGCCCCAGAGCAGAGTAAGGTAACGCAGGCCGAGGTGCGGTCTGTCACCGACCCAGCCTTCCTGTTTGAGATTAAAGACAGACCCAGAGATGCGGGAGAACCAGAGACGGGTCTTTTTCTGAAAAGCTACGGAGGATGGCCTCTGTGGCTCCTAAGAGGGACGCGTGTGCTGCTTCTCGGGTTGAGGAAGGCAGTGTGACGGCTCAGCGGCGAGTGTGTCTGTGCAGACTTGATGACGTGCACGAAGGAAGAGTCCGCAGAGAAAGGATGTGATGACACAAAGGCCAAACAAGACCTTTCATGTTTCTCTCAAGGGTCTCTGATACTCTGTTCTTTGTCCACTTCTATTTTTTTTTTTTTTTTTTAGAGAGAGAGGAAGGGACAGAGAGATAGAAACATGGATGTGAGAGAGAATCATCCATCACGCTCCCTACTGGGGATCGAGCCCGCAACCCAGGCATGTGCCCTGATTGGGAATCGAACCGGGACATCTCAGACCACAGTACGACACTCAATCCACTGAGCCACACTGGCCGGCTGTCCACTTCTATTTTTCATTTTGTTTTTAAAATTTCTCTAAATAGGCAGCTTCTTCTTTAATTCTATCCAGATGTCCTATTTCCCTTTCAAATTAATTCCTCAGCTCAGTATATACACTTTTGATAGAATTCACCAGGAAGGCTATTGGTCCTGGGCTTTTCTTTCTGGGAGAGTTTTGATTACTGATTCTATCTCCTTACTCATTACTGGTTTGCTCAGATTCTGTTTCTTCATAATCCAGTCTTGGCAGGTTAGATGTGTCTAGGAATTTATCCACGTCTCCTAGGCTATCCAATTTGTTGGCTTGTAACTGTCACGGTAGTGTCTTAGAACCTTTTGTGCTTCGGTTGGATTTTCCAGTTTTTCCACCGTTAGTGGGTTCTAGTTCCACACCGCTGTGGTCAGCAAGGACACCTGACAGAAGTGCTCTCTTCCTGAACGTGTGGCACTTGTCCTGAGCCCAGACACTGGGCAGAGCCTGGAGAACGCACCAAGTGCACTCGGGCAGAAGGCGTCTGCGGCTGGTGGATGGGTGTCCTTGTGTCTGTCACATCCATGTGATGTGAAGGACAGCTTAACTCCTATGCTTCCTGCTGACAATCTGGATACAATACAGTGACAACAGGGGACTTCAACCTCTCCCCCAGACTGGGAAAGCCGTCAGCCATTCTTTCTGTGAGACTTTCTGCCGCTTTCTCCCCTTTCCTCTGTGACTCCCATAGTCACACGTTTGTTTCACTTGACGATGACCCTAACCGTCCCCAAAGGTCCGCTCTTGCCGGGCACACACATTCTGGGCAGAGGTGAGGGAGCAGCGTGGAATGTCCGAGGTGCCCGTGAGCCAGCCGAAGGGATCCACAGGCGAGGAGTCCTGGCGGCTCAGGGACAGGCCTCTTGATGGCGTCTGTGAAGTGGGTGGCAGGACCTGCGTCCCGGCTGACCTCTGAGCCCTGGCTACCACGCTCCGGCCTCTCTAGGCCCCTCGGTCATACAGATCACCTCTGTACTCGGAAAGGGGCGGGAAGTAAGTGGGTGTCTTTGGCAGTGAGACACTGCCCTTCCCGGGGAACATTCCAGGAGGCCAGAGCCTGGGAAAAGAGCTTCCCCTGAGGCCGCCTGGTTAGGAATAGAATGCTGGCACATTTCCAATGGCGCCTCTTGCTCTCCCCTCGCCAGAGCTGAGGACCATTTCTCCGCACGCACAGTGAAGCTGAGTGAGCCTCAGGCAAGTGTGGCAGCCCCCAGGGCGGGGGCCTCCCGCTGCTGTGTCCACACCCAGCCTCCAGCGCTGGGCACTGCCCCGCGGGTTCTGCTCCAGGAACAGAGTCTCTGAGTCTCCCTGGCTCCTGCGTGTCCCCGGCAGCAGTCTGCCCTGTGACCACACTTTTCTGAGCAATCTGAGACGACGTGGTGCTTTTTCAGCTTCTTCAGCTTTTACGTGAGGGCAGTGGTGACTCCTGTGTGCCAGACTGGAAACTGGAAGTCTTTCTTCAACTTACTTTCGTTTCTTTTTCTTTTTCCCCTTTTTGGTGTATTTCTGTGGTACCGGTTCTTTCTTCGGCTCCGTGTAATTTAGTCTTCATTGTGAAGTGATTTTGACTTTTCCTTCCATTTCTTTTGTCAGTTTGTCAATTCTTATTTTGTATCACCTGATTGTCTTGTCATCTCCTCTCTGAGTTCCTTTATTTCTGCTTTGAGAGCTTATTGCTTAAGTAAGTTCCCAAATTAATGTTGAAAGTGCTGTAATTTCTCTCCACACTGTAGTGGGATTTTCCTGTTGTGTTTTCTTCTGTTGACAACATTTGATTTTCCCTTCTTTTTTAAATATGTATATAACGGTTGCATTTTTTCCCCTTAAGTTTGCATTAGATGAATTTTACACACAATGGACCAGAGAAATCACGGAACTACAACTTGTCACAAAGATCAAAGCAACAGAAGCAAACACACAAAAGGAAAAACGGACCCTAGAGCAAATGTGCTCTTACGACACATTTCCTAGACAGCCACCTGTTAGGTCAAATCATGGTATAAAAATACGACATTCTACATATTGAAGTTCAAACTTCCCAGCAGAATTTCTATAGAACTAAAATTCCAAAGCATCTCATCTATGAAGACAGTTCAAACCTCATTTAAAGGTTTTAAAGAGAAAGGTTTTAAAGGTTTTAAAGAGAAAAGCGTTTCAAAGCCAAGCCTCCCCAGCCAGAACCTGGGAAGACGAGAGCCCACGTGAGCTGCGCCCCCACCTGTCCAGCCGGTGTAGACGGAGCAGTCGTGCGGGTCGGCTGTCTTCAGCCCTTCTTCCATCTGCTGCAGCAGGTCTTTGACTTTGGATTGGATCCGCCTCGTGAAAGCAGCAATGATCTGAGGACCAAGAGACATCAGTATAAACTGCACCAGAAAGGACAACGTCGTAATAAATACTTTAACGGTCGAAGTCAGAAGAACGTTAACACCCAGAAATTATATTCCCCGGCCCATTTTAATGCTTCATTGGTTGGAGCGTGTACTTTGGTTTTTGAAGGTGAGTTTTTAAGTGAGATCATGCCCTACACAGACTCTAAGTATTAAGTAGGATCACAAAAAGTAAGTTGCAGAAACCAAAGGAAAAAACACATTAAAAAATGGTGGATTCGCCCTGGCTGGTCTGGCTCAGCGGTTAGAGTGTCAGCCCACAGACCAGAGACGCCTGGGTTCAGCCTGGGTTCAGTTCCCCCTCAGGGCATGTATCTCGGGGTCGTGTGGGTGGCAACCAGTCGATGTGTCTCTCTCATATCGATGTTTCTCTCTCTCTCTTCCCCCCTCTCTCCCTCCCGCTCTATCTGAAGATAAATGCAAAAAAAAATGGTGGATTTGACTAAACATAACTTCTATAAGTTAAAGAACATAAGAAAGATGATGTAAAAGTTAATGACAAAAACTTATAGACACAAATAACAGTGTAGTGGTTCCCAGAGGTAGGGGAGGGAGGCAGTAAAGAGCAGAAGGGGTCAAATACATGGTGATGGAAGGAGACTTGACTTTGGGTGGTGAACACAATACCTATTCAGATGATGTATTAGGAAATTGCACACTTAAAACCTATATAATTTATTAATCAACGTCACTCCGATAAATTTAATTTAAAAAGTTAATGGCAAAGAGAAGATACTTGTAATAGAAAACATTATAAATAAAAAAAAAAACAATACAAAAAAACACCTAAAATCATCAATGTACCCCATAAAAAGAAAAAAAAATGACAAGCATATGCAAAAATGGTCAACCACTTAGCAATTAATGCAATGCAAGTAAGTATAGTACCATGCTTTGCTTATCAGATAAGTGAATAATAAATTATTTTAAAAATATTATGTACCAACATTGTTAACAGCGAAGGGAAGAGGTATTCTTATTCACTGCTGGTCATCTTTCTCAAGGGAAATTCAGCAATGTTCTTAAACGTGTAGTTGTTTAGATTTTTCTGTCTTTGATGATTTATTTGTTGCACTAATTGTTGAGGTGTATTAAAATCCCTGACCATAATTGTGGAATTGTCCATTATCTATTTCTGCCTTTAATTCTGCACTTTTCCCTGCGTTTGTGTACTTTGTAGTTCTGTTAGTAGGTGCAGACAAATGTACAATTGTATCTTCCTCATGGACTGACTCATTATCGTAATGAAATGTCCATCTGTGGGACAACAGAGAAAATGCTTTTATGCAAATGAAAAAAATTCATTGCACCATGCAAATAAAAAGTCCAAGGAATTAAAAAGAGAAAAGAAAATGCTTTTATGTTACTGTACATTTAGGGCTTCTGGGACAAATTTTACTGAATGTAAACATTAGGAATTAAGTGACAAGTGTACCAGGTGTGGGAACTCCAGACAGGTTTACTTAACCCTGGAGGTGCCTATCGGTCTACATTTCAAAGGAAGGTGAGGCCCTGGAAGGGGTGAGGAAAGGGTAACCAAATACAGCAGGCGAATTTTTAGGCTGAGAATTTTGTATGGCAATATCCAAATGGCCCTTGTTAGAAAAAAGGTTTCCCACCCCTGCCTAGAACTAAGAACAAATGGGTTTATTTTTTCCATGGAAAGATTCATTTACATCCCAAAGATTAAAGTAAAATATACCCAATGACACTTTCTCAGAAAGGGAGGGGACACAGATGCCTCTTTCCCCTTTACAAAAAGGCCTTATCCTAACTAATTACATTCCTTATATGAAAATAAGGTCACATTCTGAAGTTTTGGTGGTGAGGACTTGGACATATCTTTTTGGGAGATACAATTCAACCCAGAATATTCTCATTTTCATGTCTATCAAAACAAATTCATACTTCGATATCATCTCTCTTAATTAAATTGACATTTTAAAAATGAAAAATATAATCAGCCAATCATAAAGTATAAAGAGTGGAACTTAATATATATTTTTAATGTTTTTATTGATTCTCTTTTTTTTTTTTGAGAGAGAGAGAGATAGAAACATGGATGTGAGAGAGAAAGATCGATCGGCTGCCTCCTGCACGCCCCCCACCAGGAATCGAGCCCGAAACCCGGGCATGTGCCCTGACCGGGAATTGAACCGGGACTTCTCAGTCCAGGGGACGATGCTCAATCCGCTGAGCCACACCGGCCGGGCGCATATTCATTTTATCTGGTGATTTTTATATAACTAAGAAGCATTCTTTCTGCCTTTTAAAATCACAACCCCCCTCCCCAACCCTTGCATGTCCAAGAGCAACACAATTCCCATTTCCCCTTCCCAGCAAGTAATCACGGTCTCTACCTGGCGCATTTAACTGCACAGAGATAACACAAGCCCCTTTAATTATTTGTGTTTTAATTTTCTTCTATATGAATCGGTCTGGTATGCAGTTGGGGTCCAAATCGCATTTACCAGATACCACGGGTAAAAGGAAAAAATAAATGTAATTTCAGAATCGGTGTTTATCTCAGTCTATTAGGTAGAAAACAAAACTCAACTGCGCCCATCTCCCTATTGTTCCCGTGTAGACGCAAATCACGCCAGGAGTTCGCTTCACTGTCTCTCACTAAACATCAGCAGCCTCTTTTCTCTCAGTGTAAGTAGGGATGATGGATTTTTCTAACGCTTGCCAGCATTAAATGTAAAATTTTTACTATAAAAATCTGAACTCTAGGTAACAACTATAACAGATGTGTGAAAATAGAAGAAATGTAGAGAAAAATTAATATTAACATAAGCGTTCTAAATGGTAAGACTGGAATTTTCGAGGGGAAGAAAGAGGGGTCATTTCCTGGAGGCTTCCTAGGTACCACACAGGCAGTGCCAGGCAATTTACATGCTTTGTCTGACTCAACCATTAATATCCACGTGGGTTATAACCACATGTAAGAAAAGAAGATGCTTCAAGACACCTGCCCGATTCTACATTCAGACCAATGGCTTTCAAACTGCCTTCCTAATTTGGGGGAAACTTGCACCTTTTGGATGGGGAACCAGGGCAGGGAAGTGGGATTTGGACCCCTGAGGTCAGTGCAAAGACAGTCACTTCATTGGCGAAATGCATGGTTTTACCAAACACGAACACAGCTACACTGATGCTCATTTCTTCCTTTATTCCCACTGTCACTGTCCACATTAAGGAAACCCGATTCTAACTGGAGTCAGGACGCCCCCATACTCGCACCCCGCACCACAGCCTGCGTAACCAGCAAGGAAAGGGAGGCCGGGAATTACTTTCACCAAGGAGAGCCTTTTTCATACCGGACTGTCCCCGCCTGCTTCTGGAAACAAGGGGGAGACCCCGCCTGCGCCTGCAGCAGCACTAACCACCACGGCCTTGCCCTCTCCGGCGACCCTTGGCTGGAAACAGCCCCTGCCATTTCCCCTCGTAAGCCTGGGGAACAAGGCTGACTTCCCCGGGCCTCTCCGGGCTTGCCAGGCGCTGGCTACACGCAGCATGTCCCGAATTGCGACTCCTCCGCTCCCCCACCTAAACTCCACTTGGGGGGCCTGCCTCGGTTTCCCTCTGCTCAGGACAGCAGCACCCTCCCCCCGCCTACCAAGGGAACGTTCCCCCGGGCACCCCGTCTCCAGGCCCTGGGCACACGGACAAGAGCAGTGTGTGTTTGTTTTTTCTTTACGGTCAATGCCCAGGGCAGCGAGCCAGGGGCCGGGCCGGACGCGACCAGCGCCCCGGGAAAGCCAGGGGCCGGTCAGCGTGCGCTGGGGCGGAGCGTGCCCGACAGCGTCGACCGGACCCAGTGTGCGTCCAGCACAGGACAGCCGGAGGCACTGCCAAGGCACCAGGGCCCGCGAGGCGCCCCCACCGGGGCGTGGTTAACAGGCCGCAGCGCCCAGTCCTCGGGCCGCGCCGCCCGGGAGGGACCCAACGGGGCACCTGCCAAGGACGCGCAGACGGGCGCGCTCCCCGAATCGGGCCGCGAGCCAGGTCGGGGCCGGCGGCGGCGCGCGCGGGTGAGGTCAGCGCGCCTCGGGCAGGCCCGGGCGACGTCAGCACGCTCGTGGGCGGGGCCGAGACGCCAGCACGCTCGTGGGCGGGGCGGGTAGACGCTACCATCACTCGGCCCCCCCCTCCCGGCGCGGCCCGAGTCGGCCAACGACTCACCTTCCCGTCGTCGTGAAAGGGGAGGCTGAGCTCGTCGCGGGTGGGCGGGGGACCGGCACACTCGTCCTCGGCCTCAGAGGCGGGCGCTGCGGAGGCGGCGACCACGTAGTCCGGGAAAGGGTTGGGGAACGCCCGCTCCCCCATCTCGGCCTCCTCGCTCAGGTGCAACTTGAGTCTCTTGGACATGGTCTCGCCCATCGCCGCGCGCTGCTCCCAGCGCCGGGGCCGCGCGGTACGGCGTGCGCTCGGGGACAAACCTCCGGCGCGGCGTCGCCCGGGAGCTGCGCGCCGGCCCTGCGCGGCCGGCCGGCTCCTTTAGGAAGGCCGCGGGCTGCGGGGGCGAGCGGGGCCTGCGGGCGCGCGGGAGCCTGGCGGCCGGGGGCGGGCGGCGCGCGGCCGGCTCATGTGGCCGCAGCGGGGCGCTCCACGTGGTGCGCGCCCGGCCGGACGCGGCCCGGGCAGCCCGGCCCCGCGGGGAGCGCTCGGCGGCTCAGCGCCGGCACCGGCCGCCCCCGGCCCGCTCTGTGCGACGCGCTGGGCGGGGCCGGCCGGGGAGAGCCTGCTGCGGCCGAGCCCCTTCCACGGCGCCCTGGAGGAGCGCGGGCGCCGCGCGGGGCCCGTTCCCGCAGGGCGCGCGGGCGGGAGGCTTCGCCGTCACTCAAGGTGTCCGCGGCCCCGGGCGCCGTCCTCCACCTGCACTGCCTCCGGCCGGGCGGGGCCGCCCTCGGGCCCCGGAGCGCCGGCCGCTGGCGCCGCCGCAGCTCCCCGTCCGAGATTCAGGGGAAAAAAACACCCTCTAAAAAAATGACAATTGCAAAACAGCCCCAAACACTGCAAGGATAGGGTCTCCCGGCGGGAGTGGACGGGCGCTCCTATCATCGCCGCTGGGAGGGGGTGTCTGGAGGAGGAGCCCCGGCTTTATTTATTTATTTATATTTATTTTGGGTTCATGCTTTGTTTGGAATAAACGGATATCTTTGTTTACAAGACATGATGTGAAAGCATACTGAATCATTCCAGATATGTCACTGGCCCCACAGATTCCTCCAATATTAATTTAATTGCCCAGGAACATACCGTGTACAATAAAAGGACACAAGCAAACCCGTCTTTGCATTTATGGGAACACAGCTATGGCTCATTTAACAGTCTTTATTGGTTCTCTTTGTTCTTGTGTCTTTAATTATTGGGAACCAAAGAGATGTGAAGCCATAAGAAAGCAATGGTTTCTCCTCCTCGTGGAAAGTATCTCACTCCCCCTCTTCCCCTTTAAACATGGATTGACTGCCAGATGGTACTAGGCCAGGACTCTGCCCTCCGACCCCAGGCTAGTGGGCAGGGAAGGCAAGGGTTACAGCACCACGTGATAGGGATCCTCTCCCAGAGCTGCACGAGATACACGAGATACACGGATAGGACGCAAACAGTGGCCCGTGGAGGAACGCACCCAGCACTGGGAAGGACCAATCCTCCCCCAAGCCTGGCTTCCCACTACTGTCTGTCTTGGTCTACGTTTTCCTAAATCTAGTCTGTTTGGGAGCACCGTATTTCTCATTTTACTTGAGAGACAAGAGAAGCCAGAGGCCTATGTACACGGAAGTGCTCGGATGAACTGAGAGGACATGTACCTCTCAGTAGCAGAAAGCTTCTGAGTTCAAAGTTCAGCCTGGACCTCTGGGGGCCAGCAGGCTTTGTGTGAGTGTGTGTGTGTGTGTGTGTGTGTGTGTGAGAGAGAGAGAGAGAGAGAGAGGGAGAGGGAGAGAGAGGACTGGAGCTGAGATGGGATTTTTGAGCACTGATGGCTTCTCTACAATAAACACTCGCCTAGTAGAGGTGAGAAAGTGTGGAGCGAGCTGGAGCCTGTGGAAGAGACATCCATGCACGGAGACCCCTGTGTAGGGACGTGGCCCATCATCCTTGGTGCAGATCCTAAGGGTGTACTGTCTCAAAGGAATTTACAAACAGTAATAAAAATGACTAAAGTCCATGTGCTTTTTGATTCCACTGAACGCTGGAAACCCAGCTATAAGTAGGTGATAAAAGACTCCCCCCAGCTGGCAGCACTATGCAGAGGGCTGTGTGGTGGTGGAGGAAGGAGGACCGTGGAAGAGGAGAGGGTGTGTTGTAGGTCCGCAGACGTATTTGTGTAGTTATTTGATTGCGTTTCTCTTCCGGGAGCCCACAGCTCCACGAGGGCAGGTGTGTTTGTACAGACTATCACTTGACCGTGGCCTCGCACAGTGCGAGGCACCTGCCAGGCATTGGAGATATCTCATGAGATGGATGGATTCCCTCCGAAAGGGACTTTGGAGAATGAGATGCAGTAAGCTGACTTATCATTTGTACACGACTTTTCCATTTTTAAAGGAGTTTGACATTCCTTTTCTCCTTTGATCCCACATGACAGGTTGCTGATGTTTGCAGGAGTCCGATGGTGACAGCGCTGTGCGGAGGCACAGGGATCTGCCATTAGCAGTGAGGTGATCCGTGCAGAACTGGGGCTGGGAGGCCGTCACAGGGTTGTCCGACTTGCCTACCTGAACACAAGGATCACAGTGAACATCTGGCTGGTGACATGTTTCTTCCAGTTATTCTCCTCAGTGTCTGTGCATCACACTTCCCGCCAAGGTGGTCTTTTACAGCAGTGAAATGAAATCGCTTCAGGGGTCTTCGTTTATGTGACTGTTGAGAGGCCATCGATCTTAGTGGCTGTCCACATTCTCAGGACAATTCTGCGTCTGTCCAGTTACAGTAACGTAGCGTGTTCCTTCACGTCCTTTCCAGTGTACCCAAAACGAGAAGACGTCATTGTAGTTTGGAAAAGTTTATACTTACATACACGTGTTGGGAATAGAAACCCAGGGCCAGGAGGACCCGGTGTGAACCTGTCCCTGACCCGTGTTCCCCAGAACCGGGAACTGGAGCAGGAAGATTGACGGGGCCTTCCAGCATGTGAGGAGGCCATGGGCCCCCGAGGTCCAGGTGTTCCCGGATCCTTAGCGCTGCCTCCCACTTTTTATTTTTAAATCCTCACCTGAGGACATTTTTGCATTTATCTTCAGATAGAGCAGGAGGCGGGGGCGGGGGGGGCATTGATGTGAGAGACGCATCAGACTGGCTGCCATCCACATGTCCCCCACCGGGGCTGGGGACAAACTAAAACCGAGGTCCATGCCCTTAGCGGGAACTGAACCTGGGACTCCCCGGTCCGCTGGCCAGCACTCTAACCACTGAGCCAAGCCAGCCAGGGCTGCCTCCCACGTTTTAAGCAGACTACGCCGAAAAGCAGCGTTTCCGTGTTTCTCCCTGTGCACTGGTACTGGGCGTTGCTCAGAGCCTCGGCGACAGCAGGGCAGACGGGCCTTTAATCGCCTAGAAGGCACTCTGGTCCTTTGCAGCCGGAACCGTAAAGCACACAGCCAACGGGCTTGTTTAGATGCTCTTCCGTCTGAATGAAGTCACCTCATGAAAAGGGATCCTTATCGCACAGAGGGCTGGAAATCACTGCTTTGGAAGAGCAAGAGCTTATGGGAAATGGTGTTGAGTAGGATTATTGACGCGGGTTCTTCAGCAGCAGCAGCAGATGAAAAGTAACTGCAGGCTTTAAAAAGGTGATTTATGCCCTGGCCACTTTTGCTCAGTGGTTAGAACATCAGCCTGAGGTCCAGAGAGACCCGGCTTCGGTTCCTGCTAAGGGCACGTACCTCGGTTGCAGTTTGTCCCCGGCCCTGGTTGGTCGTGCGGGTGGCAGCCACTCGATGTGTCCCTTCACGTCGATGTTTCTCTCTCTCTCTCTCTTCCTCTTTCTCCCTCCCACTCTATCTGTACAAAAAATGGAAAAATGTCCTTGGGTGAGGATTAAAAAAAAAAAAAAAATGGAGGAATGTCCTCCGGTGAGGATAAAAATAAATAAATAAAAAGGTGGTTTATTACTTGACCTTGGCGAGTTTACTTGTGCATAAATATCACGGATATTTCTGCCTTCTTGATAGCCTCTCCTGTTTGCGACATTTTCAAACAGAATATTCTAAGCAAATAGATTTTACTTTGAACAGCGAGCCAACCTCACCCTCGGTGGCTAATGGTTTGTTGCCCAAAATATTTGCTGTCCTTCCGTTGAAGGGTTAGAGAAGCCCGCCGTGCAGGACTCAGCCCCGGGCACGTGACTGACATGATCAATGGCGAGTGAGTGACAGGTGTCACTCCAAGCCCTCGTGGTCTCCTGTCCTGGACAGAGCATGTCCTCAGGGTCCAGCAGAAAGATGGTGCAGAGCAAACGAGCGCTTGGTCCCCAGTGACCAAGAACACAGTTTGTTGCTGGAGCCTGTCAGGTGTGCGGTGGGTGCACCGCAGTACGAGGCCTCCACCCTGACAACACAGTGCCCCCCGGTCCCTCCCGGGACTCGCTGACGGTGCTCTCCCCCTCGAGCCGTGCTTCTCGTCGGCCAGACCTTCTGTTCCGGACTTTGGAGACCAGCAGGACTGTGCTTTCTTTGGTTCCACCCAAGCCCCGCATCGCTACCCCCAAATCCCAACTCTAGTACTGTCGCCCTGAAGGAGTCTCCAGGGCTCCCAGAGCTGCAGTGTGTCAGTGATCTCATCGGGTCCTCAGTGAAGCCCCTTACTTTTTCAGCAGCGTGGGGACTCAGGACACAGCTGGCACCGGGCTGCGGCCCAGGGCCCGTCAGGGACTAACCGAAGTGGGTCTGCAGGACAGCTGGACCATGGCCCACGCCAGCAGGAGGAGTCTCAGGCTTTGGGATAGTAGCCCACACCCGCACACCTGCAGGGAAAACCGAAGAGAGCGGCGTGGACATCACAGCCCGGAGCTGGGTTCGCTCGGCTGCCTGCAGCTCAAGGCCTCCAAGGATCAGACCACAGGGAAGATCGTCACCTGCTGTCACTCGCGCTCGGAAACTCCTGCCGGCGCTGTCGCCTTTGTCCCAGGTCTCTGCCCAGTCTCATCTGAAGTGGAAAAGCCGAGACAAAGTGGGCAGGTGTGGGGGTCTTATTGCTTCTGCACTGAGTGCGAAAGGGCCTAGTTCCCTAACCTTGGAAAGAACGAGCGGTTGATTTCCACGCTCTCTGGGAACACTGACACCTGGGAAGCACTGTGGACCTTCAGCTCTCCATTCTGGAACACGCCAGAGGCCCAGGAGGGGGAATCACTTGTATGAGGTCAGCAAGTCATTGGGCAGAAGCGTCGGGGCTGGAATTC